ACCCCATAATACATCCTCACTTTATCAAACATGACATAAAACAGTAATAAACTGTTGTTTATGTACCGAATATGGAAATAAGCTGTTCGATAAGTATCTCAACATTATAAATTTTCTCGGATAAAGCATTTACAAAACGCTGGAAATATTATCAGTAGCATCGCGTTCGTTGTTTCAAGATCTCATACGTGAAGATTCTCCTTCTCGACGACACTCGGATCGCTTTCAAAGAGGATCAAGGCTACCATTTATTTTTCAGAAGTGTTTCTAACAGTTCGCAATCTTTACAGCGAATCTACGGAACACACTTGTCGAGGGAGAAACGCTAGAATTGGTTCGTTTCTTTTTCACCCCTTCAGCCACGGTTTCTTTCTTTCTTTCTTTCTTTCTTTTTTTTTTTTCTTTCTTTCCACGAAATAAACTCGAAGCCACGCTTCCGTTGATGGTGAAGCAAGAGGATTCTAGGCAGTACATATATTTCTTCTATTGTCTAGCCCGGGAGTTTCCTATTGTTTCTAGAAATTTATCGCTTCACGGGAAGTTTGGCCACGCAGAAGCGGGTGCTTTCATCTTGAGCCAAACGACGGCCAGAGAGACGGAGATGGCGCGTGTATTCGTTAAGCAAAAGAGTGGGAAGGGATATCGATTCAAAGCGATGGCGATAATTAGTACTTCTACAAAATTATTTATGCCTGAAATAAATCAGGGGAAAGCTTAATTGCTTCCCTCTTTGCGCGCCGTTAAAACGCCGCGCGTGCGATCTCTGAGCTGTTCACCTTTTTTATTTTCATCTTTTTTCTTTTGCGGCTCTTTTTTGGAATGTCAGTGAGATTTGTGTTGAGAATTTATTGATTGTTGATTCCAAACTATTGAGCCTTTTGAAAAGAGGTTTTTGATTGTTCCTTTCTAGGATATTGTAAAATTATTATAATCCAATTGAAATTTTTGTATTACTGAGAATTTTAATATAAAATAATTAAATTATTTTAAACGTGGTAGTTTTATTACTTGTTCGAGTCTATAGAAAGAAGGGCGAAGTGGTTGATATTTCAAATACTATAAAATTTAGGTTACTGAAAATTATAATTTGAAATAATTGATAAACAAATGGATAGTTACATTTAACATTTCTCAATTCGAAGGTGTATTATACTGCAGGGAGAATTAATCATACAAGTTGAGTTGAAAGCTCATAAAAGAACCCATTAGAAGCCATCTGAAGATGAGAAAAAACATAATCAGTTACTAAAGACACTCGTCAGCTCACTTATTCGAATCTTTACTCGAATAAAAAATATTCGTTCTCAGTGATAGCTTTTTAATAACTGGCCTGTGTTTCGTGCAATCAATCATCCCTTACGAATCTTCCAAATAACACAATAAATTAACACAAACTACAATTTCCAATTGTTAAGGAAAAAAGTGTACTCGAAAGACATTTAGATAGCTGTGTAATTTTGTAATTTTTTAAATAACATTTAATATTAACAATTTTATTGGTCACTCTGTATTTACAAAGGTTCATTACATGATACAAGATAATTACAGATAATTATCTCACTGATTTTAATCACAAAATAATTGTTGCCACATTTTTAAATTATTGTAATTGCCCTATAGTCCACCACCAAATTAAAGAAGGGGGTGGAACAGTGAATTTAGGATATAAAGGAACGATTTTATTCCAAAAACTGTACGGAAGATCAGGGTTTCGTGGCACAGTTGGTTCTAGCAGTGACGATGGAGAATTTCAAAAGCGTTCACTGTTGAGGGAGGAGCGGGGCGAGGAAAGATGTGGATAAGGAGCCATGGAAGCTTAGAACGGCTGCGAGAGGAGGGGTGAAGGCTTTGGCAACAGGTTTCACCCCCGTGGAAAAGCCGCCATCTTTCGTTCGTACGTGCTTTTCGAAAAACGTTCGTTCGCTTTTCCAGCGACCGAGAGAAATGGTCTTGTTCGTCTTCTTTTTTCTCTCTTTTCTTCTCCCGGTCCTCTCTGGCTCGTTTTCTCCTTTGTTTCTTTCTTTGTCTCTGTCTGCGAGACGGTGGATGAACGAGAGAAGACTCGTTTCGGTGTTTTGCGGGAAACCGGTTTCTTTCCTACGTTAAATTACAAGACGTCTCCTCAAGTTTTCTTCCACCCTGGCTCGTTATTTCTTCGTCTCTCGAAGTTTATTGAAGGCAAACGTTTTATTTACATTGTAGCCCGGCTTACGTTTGAGATCGAAAGTCTGCCGATGGGGGTGCTTAAACGTCGAGCAACATTTTAATATCGTAACTTTCGAAGAAACGCAAAGTGTCTCTTTACTTCTCACCCCGTTCGACTCGATCGCTTCTCCTCTCCGCTTCATTCGCGCGCTTTTTTACTCGCTTCTTGCGGGATAACACGCCGTGGCCACTGCAGGATTTCACGGGACACCACGATGGAGGAATGTGACGCTTCCAGGGGGAAAAAGGTGCGTTCAAATCGTTTGGCAACGATTTAGTATACGTTACTTGGAAAATAAATTCCCTCTCATAAGGAAGATATTGAAAATATTACTATGGTGAAAAAGATACAGAGTAAGAGAAGCAATATTATTTATTAATAATATTTCTTTTTACTCAGTTTCTAACAAATGTTGTAGAAATTGAAATTCATAAATTAAAATAATTCCCAGCAGTGAGTGACTTATATTATGGAACACCTTGTATATTAACTCAAATGGGCTAAAAAATGAAGGAAAGCGTGAATTGGTTTGACAGACAAAGATCTATTAATAGAAGAATAGATAACACACTGTTTTGCCGTTTGAGACGAGCGTCGATCGCGAGGACCACCCGTCCGGTTCTTTTTTTGCAGCCAGCAGGGTGGCGACACAGGACGCACCCCTTTGAACGAATTTTTGGAAAAACCAGTTGGAAGGACGAAACCTCGCGAAAGGTGGTAGCAAGAGTAAAGAAGAAAAAAGAAAAAAAGAAAGAATAGTGAATCGATGCCGACGTCATGGAAGCCTCTGTTACAAGGTCGTAACTCAGCCACTTTAGAGTTTCTCGGTTCGTGGCACGCCATTAGGCATCCTCTTCAGAAAAATAAATCTTCCCTTCTTGGAATTCCACGTAGACGTCGAAAACCTAGTCGTAGGGCCTAGTACGTAGTCGACACCCCCGCGTCGAGGAAAATGGACTCGTCCAGTAGGGGTGGCCACCATGAACCATCCCCTCCTTTCCTCTTTGCTCCCCTTCTTCTTCGAAGCGATCGTTTTTGCTCCGATTCTGGAGAAACATCATCCATTCTCAATTTTGTTCAGTCAAAAATACTGGACACGTATTTCCTTTTTATCGTCAGTACTTTAGAATACTTAAAAAATGTTTAAATAATTTATTTCTAGAAAATGTGAATTAATTAGATATTAATGATGCAATTGTGAAAGGGTTAATTGAATAGAACTCGGAATCTAATTTTCACCACTAAACGAAAAAATCCTTCATAAATAAAATAAAATTTTCCAAATATCTAATACTCCATCGGAAGCCGATAAGACAGAAAATAAGCTTCGTCTTTCGTTCAGAGGAAGACAGAAAGAATGGAGAAGAAAGGGAAAGAAAACAATTGGAATCCGGCTGCGTAGCTGTCATCAAAGAGCATCCCGTCACGATTGCGAGTCACGAAGAGAAGACTGAACGAATGCACGTTAAAAGAGCCGGAAGAGATGAGCGAGCGATAGGAGAAGGAAGAAAGCACCGGTAATCGTGGTCCTCCAGCGAACCGTTTCGCGAGAAGAATCCGAGTGGACGTCTCAACAAAAGGTAGAAGCACTTTTCGATCTCCGCTGTGTACTGGGAAATTCGAAAAATAGCTCCTTCTCCTTCCACCTCCTTCTCCTCCGCCGCGTCGTTTCACCTTCGACAGGATCACGAAGCGAATTTTCGAGCGGCTACGCGAACTTTCGTGCCGGTGAATGGACGTGGAACGCATACAATCGACGCATTGTGGCGTTCGTTTAGGAGAACGGCGAGCACGATGCACCTACAGGAATAATATTTACTTCCGGTCGCCAGGCATCCGGCCTTCTCTCGAAACGTTCCTCCCGATGGTAACACGAGACTCGAGCGATTTTTCCATCGTTCTTTCGCGACGGGGTGTTGCGAAGAGGAGGCGGCGGCGTACGAAGAAAGGGGAAAAGAAATTGCCGCTTTTTTATTTCCCCCATTCAGTCGGCGACAACGTGGATTCGGAAATTATACGTTCGTCGTTTAATCGAATTCGAGGAATGGCGGGTTAGCAACGCGCGCCGCAAATTATGCGACGATGAGTTTGCTTTTTCTTCCGCAGGGGTCGAACCCTTTTCCTTCGCCCTGCGGTATGCCTACGGGGCGCAACTGTTGCGTTTCCTTTTACCAAATTGATCGAGAAAAATTCGTCGACTTGGATTCCGGGGAAGGTTTGTAATTTAATCGCGCTGCGGAGACTTGAATGCTGGTTCAAGGAATGAATGACTGCGACTTTGGAGTTGCATTCTCGGGTGCTGGCAATTTGGGCGTAATTTTATATTCTATTGATCCCTTTGACTGTGCTGGGTGGGCCAAGTAGTGTTGCAAACTATTTTCTCCAAAACCACAGCAGATATTTTTTGAATTAAATGAGATAAAGGGGTTGATCATTTAGACACCTGTTATGAATAATATTGTAAATTTGTTACGGTATTTTGCAACTATAACACAAATATAGGTATTAGGAAAGAAATAATTATTTCTTCTGTCTAGAAATCATGCTTTTATTACAATTAGAATTATACTTAATTGGCTTTACATTTCCTGATTACTAAGGAAACAGAAGAGGCCCTTCTTATTTTTTTCTTTTAAATTTGAATTAAAAATTTATAATTTTATTTATTGAAAATAAAAAATAAAGATCAAATACATTTCTATAGCCTGAATGCTCGATCATAATCAATATCAATCACCAAATCAAACATTATCATTAAATATAAATCAATTTTCTGCAAACATTTGTTTCGCAGAAACAGAGAAAACGGTCTCGAAAGTAAAATCGACCTCGATTTCGCATCGCCGCGATAATTAGGCAACCTTGATCGGACAGGCCAATCAGAATTCGCGATGAGGAAGAAGGAAAGAAAAGGCGAATCATGGAAATACGAGAAAGTAAGAGATACACAATGTGTCCGGGGTCGAGTAATGCCCATTTACTGTTGTCTGTTGCAAAAAGCATTGATGATCCCTCGAGGCACAAAGAGCAGCAATGATAGAGAGCAAGCAACGGATAAATGCAAGCCAGTTGCAAAACGTTGCGGCCCATGAAGAGGCATTGCAGCCGCTCGCAAATTACTGCGCGAGGTAATCATAATACGATCGTAATGCAACGCGAATGACTTGATTTCGAGCGTGAGCCTGTCCGTTGCAAGATAAGTCACGGCCATTACGCGAAATTAGCGATTATCAGACGGTAATTCGTAATTATTGCTCGTCGTAAGATAGATTCGAGAGGACCGCGCGGGATAACGTTGAAGAATCGGGGAAGAAACGGCGAGCGGTGCTCCGCGCCGGGAATTTCAACGAGGAAACAAGCGAGAAGCGTGACGATCAAGCATTCGCCATGATAAATCGCAGATACGTATATACACTATCGGTCAAAAGTATGAGACCACTTATTTATATTGATAAATGAAATTCATTTATAAAAAGTGGCTGGAAATAATTGAATTTTCTTAGTGCTTAAACTTCGGATGGCGGACTATGAAGAGAGCCGTAATTTTTATTTTTTATTATTTCTAAATTTCACACTGTTCCTTTTAAAATTATTTTTCTAATATATGAAACCCTTTCGTTTAAAAATTAGACATTTAACTTTAATATGTTTTGTAAATTGGTTCAAGGATTCGAGGGTTAATTACTTTTATTTAGTATCTTATAGAAAATCTTTCCTTCCCAAAAATTATTTCTATAAATAAAAATAGTGACCATATATTTGGTACCCACCTCGGTAAATTAAATATTATTTTATATAACTCATATGATAAAATTTAAATTTGAATAAGATGATTCTATACTTTTGGTAGGTAGTGTATGTATGCATCGCTGCGGTGTAATTTATCTGAAGACAAAGGGGTCGAAGGATCTCTTCGATGGTCTTATTGATATTGAAACTTCAATTGTTTCTAGTTGAAAGATATTGATACGAACGAGTTGCATGCATGTATTTTCGTTTTGAAAAAAATTCTTATGAAAGAATTGAATTGTTAGACGTTGTGTGTACAGAACAAAGTTAGTAAGAAATTAGTCATATCGTCAAACAGATATAGATAAGTTTCAATTTTCAATTTTAAATCCTACTGATAAGCTGGGTTATCACCTTCTCCCATTAAATATTAATTATTTTATAAACAATTTCCATTATTTTTTCGATTATCTTTTCTCTGATTCTTTATTAAAATTTCAAATAAATTTACAATGCAGTATACAAAAATATGTTCTGTAAATTATGTTCTTTGATTTCTCAAAGGCAGTTCAAAATTGGATAGTTACGAAAATACGATATTCTTGGAAAAACAGAGGAAAATAAGAAAAAGCGGGCCAGCAAAAGCGAACATAAATTGTAGTCACCACGTGTTGTTTGTGGGCGAACGTTTTCGGACCGGTTAGTAGGATAGGCCAAGCTGAAGAAAACGAGAAGAAAGATCTTCTGGAAGGAAACGAGAGGGCAAAAGAATTGAAAGAAAGAAGCGGAGACCTTGGATGGCCTGCGTGCACCTATACAAACAGGGCCGGCTGAAAAGCAAATATTTTGTTGTGATGCAAGAATTCACAACATTAATGGGAACCCTCAAAGTGCAGCATAGCGGGACGATTAGAGTGCGTGGAAAATGAAGTTCCATTTTTTTTTTCTTTCTTTCAGCCATCTTAACAATAACAGCATTTCTGAGAGAAGAGAAAAAGGAACAGCATAAAAAAAGATGTTCAATTTCAGCATTTCTTTTCTCTGTTTCTATTTGGAGTAAAATAAATCATGCGAAAGATGAAATTTTCAAAATCGTTCTAGCTTTCATATTTTTAACGCCTTGACTTATATAAATAATAATTTTTGTCAATATTTTATTCGAAACTTCTTCCGACCAAAATGTGAAAAAGAATTTGCTCCATTTTCTAAATAAATAATCAAAGTGAATTTGTATTCAAAGCTGTTCAATTTTTTGTCTTCTCGTTCACTTGGTTCTGGTGTATTGAACGACTTTTTTTTATAAGCGTTCCGTGTGTTTCGCGTGGGAAAAGAAGCCGGGAAAATGGAAATTTAAGACGTATAAGGCAGATGAGAATTTCGTTGTTTGCCTTCTGAGAAATTTTGAAAGATGACAAAGCTCGATACAATCTAATCGATCGAGGAATGCGCTTAGTACGAACTGGTTTCGAATATTCATTAGACGGTCCGACTGATTTCGTGGCGATTTTAATTACCGGCCCCTGTAGGCTTAATTAATTTGGCCGATGGTTCGACAACGATTAAAACTGCATCGTTTTGTAACGCATATACTAGCGATACGTAGAAAGGATTCTGCAATGTTCCGATACATTCGTAAATTCTTTTCATAAATATGGATGGTAACCCTTGTTTTCATTGGAAATTCGTTCATACTAATTTATAGCATTCGAGTAACTGTGAATTTATCGTTGCATTTGGGAAATTTGTATTAAATTAATAGCTTTCTCTTTTGTTAGCAATGTCTTTTTATTTTAGAAAGAAATTTGTTCATTTTAAATTTCGTTTAAATAATTTATAATTCATATTAGAGCTAACAAATTTTTCTTCCTTTAAAAATAAAATATTTTATATAATAAATAACGTAGCCAAATGTGAAAAGACTGAACAATGCACGTGTTATGAGTGCAAAATGCATAGTGCATTTCTATGCACCAGTGCATCCAGAAGTGCATCCAGTTTATGTATCATTTAAATTAAACCTTACCCTACATCAACATAGATTAAACATACAAGTGGAAATACTAAATTCACATTTAATCAATGAAAAGTGCACGGTGCATAGATAAGTGCATAGTGCATAGAAAAATGCATCCAGTTTATATAGGTATCATTTGAATCAAAAATGTTAAGTTACATTAATGTATGTTCAAAATACAAGTGAAAATTACAATAGTACACATTACAAGTGAAAAGTGCACAGTGCACAGAAAAGTGCATAATGCACAGAATAGTGCATTCAGCTTATATACCATTTAAATAACAAAAGGTAGTTTTCCACTGGCATAAATTAAACATGAAAATAAAAAGACTAACAATACATACCCTACCAATGAAAAATGCATAGTGCATAGTGCATAGAAAAGTGCATGGTGCATACAAAAGTGCATTCAGTTTATGTATCACTTAAATGAAAAACGTTATCTGCTATCAACATAAATTAAACGTACAAGTGAAAATCCTGAACGAAGCATGGGTTACGAATAAAAAATGCATAGAAAACGGTGTTATCAGAGTATCAAGGAACACGTAAACGCGGGGTCTCGCTAATTTCCCGGCAGCCGTTAATTAAATAAAACGGTAGAGAATAGCGGCGCGTAGCAAAGCAGAGGCTAACTTGCCGAAATGATTCTGTGTTCTCATGGGGTGCCGGCTCGTTTAACAAAGCAGGACTTATTCGGTTTACTGCACCCGTAGTAAATGCACCGAGGACGCCGGTGTAACCTGTTGCTGGCCGCATCGGTGTAAAGATGTCGTAAATGTGCGGTAATAACGCGAAATGCGCACGGCGGAGTGTCGTTAGGTGGTTTCAAGCACACCGTACAGAGTCGGGGGACGCTTATACGACCATTACCATTTTTATTGTGCCGCTTACCGGGCGACGTTTGTTCAAAGGGCGTCGATTATCGTACGAATTGCCATACCGTGAGTAACCAACGCTCGATGGAGTTATCAAAGCCTCCTTTAGACGGGACAAACAAAAGTCGCTTGTTTGATGTTTCTGCTTTGCTGAACCCGGGAAAAAGTCGGCGTGGATTTTCAATGATGAAGGGAATTTTACGAGCGGGATGTAATGAAGATGATGCGCCAGGTTAAGGGGTGTTATATTAAAACGAACGATTTTGAAGAACCGGTGCCTATTAATTTATCAAGACACTTGATTAAGTAATTTCAAAGCTTTTCATATATCAGAAGTATAAATAAAATTAATTGAAAGTCATCTTGAAACCTGCAAAAAATTATTGCTGCCATAAAATAGACTTTTCCCATAAAATAGTTAATATATTCTTTCTATTATTATTCTGTTGTACTAATATCTGACACTTAAAAATTACTGAAAATAATTGCACCCTATTAAAGGGTAGTTAAACAAATCGATCGGAATGCAGGAAAGCAAATGACAAAAAATATTTCATATTTATTATAAGAATAATAACACGTTGATTAAGCAATTATAAAATAAGTTTACAACAGCATTTACAATTTTACAGCACCTTGCTTGTTCCTCTCAGATGTAATTAAAGCACATTTATACCCTTCTTTCGTGTCGTTCGTATTTAGTTTTCTCTTCTGTATGGCCCCTCGTAAACATACCATTTAACGGATCAAACGTTTCATCGAACTGCAACGATATTTGCCCATAGCTTTTACAATTGTGATTCGATGTGAAACATATTTGACAGGACGCTCGTGAAGCTGTCCGAGCGACTTCTTTAGAAATTCGTGTAGTCATACTAAGATTTTAATCGCCGTTGGCTACGACTGACTCAGTCAGATGGAACTCGACCCATGGAACGTGAGATCCCGTGAAACTCACGGTGCATGTTTGCATTCCGAAAACCCATGCCGGGACACTCCCACAAAAATTGAAAAAATCGAGCAATAATTAAAGAAAATCTATAAACTCGGACCGCTTGATTCTGTATTTTCAATTTTATTTTATTTTATTTTATTGTCACGTCCCTCTATATGGGTGACATTAACTACGTGTATTAGCAAAGTAATAAAAAGAACCGTAAACATTATTAAGGGTATGCAAAAGTTTGCACCGTTTCTAAAGAAATTTTATTCGTCACAATATTTTCCATTCGTTCAAAGGATCACTTAAAAATACGAGGCTCTAAAAAGCAACGTACCTAAGATATTGAAAATAGAAAAGTATATTTTGAAATACGATTAATAAACGAAAGTATAGTTCATTCGACAGCCATAATATCCGCGCAGTTTGCGAACGGTCTGTTTTCGGCGAAAACAAGCTTCTCCGTCGGAGAGAACGTCGTTTTAAAATTAACCATCGCCATGAAAACAGCTCTCGTCTTCTCTATATTAATATGCGCACCGCAACGGCTACGATTCTTTTCTTCTTTCATCGATAATAAAGTGAAATTTAAAGCTCCGATAAAACCGAACGGTCGAAAATAATCCCCGACGAGTGGGTCGTGTCGCGGACATCCCGCTCTTGGCAAGTTCATCGAAGCTACAAAATTTTCGCCGACGTAGAACAAAGGAGAATAAACCGGGGAAGGAGGAGGAAGAAATTTGAAGATTACAAGGCTGAAGGGAAGAAGTGGACGGTAGCAGAAGAAGTTGAAGAAGCAGAGAAATCTGCAAAAGGTGCCGCGTGCACGCGGGGAACGCATTATGTATGCGATCAAAGAGGGCAAGATACGCGAGTACACGAAGAACATGTGGGACAATGCCTGTCACCTCATTCACGTCAAGTGAGCTCGAGGACTACCAACTTCAGCCCTGAGTCGTTCCGTAGTGGCAGAAGAAGAACCTGGTCGTAGGATCAAATTGCATCTCGATTCGTGCATCGACTTTTCTTTTTTAACCCTCGTCTTCTCTTCTTCCTTCTCCTCTTCTGAATCCCTCTTG